TGGGAGTGCTGGCTGTGCTAGGAGGTGGGATTGCCCCATGCAGGAGGAGCAGACACACACAGCCCCTCGCCCCCGAACTCACAGCCTGTGCTCACCCCACACCGGTGGTGTGCAGCCACGCTGCTATCACACCCCCAGTTCACCCCCTGCTCCCCAACACTTCTGGGCAGAGAGCTCAACTGTGCACCCGGCAGGCTGGAGACTTGCCTTTCCTGAACGGGGCTGAAAATGCCTGGTTAAAGGGGGAAAATAATATCGCTACCATTTACTTCCCTAAATTAAAAATGAATGTGGCTCTCTGTGGGATGCAGTTCAGTGGGGGAAATCTCACGGGCCTCCTCATGAGATGGTCAGAGCGAATCGTCTCAATAGAGAAAGAAAGAACAGATTCTGCAAAGGACAAATGACATTGGGATCGAGCCTGCTCACTCTCCACCCTGGCTGCTGTTGCAAAAAGCTGCCTGCTTCTATCAAAAGAAATAATGAACAAGATGCTTTTTAAAGTGTTTGGGTTTTTTTTTCCCCTGCTATTATTGTTCTGTTTCTGCAATTCCCTTTCTGAGAAGGGCAGTTAGATAAATGCTGCGTTGAGCCTGTTCCTGTGAAGCCCTAAAGGCAGTCAAGAAGCAGATGACACTTGGCCGTTGTCACAACGTGCGTGTCGGTGTCCCCAACGCTTACGGCAGTCTGTGCAGGGGGAGGCAGCTGCTGCTGGAAGGAGAATGATGATGTTTGCTGCTGCATGAGGAGAAACCTCAATATTTTTATGGTTGCGTTGAAAGAAGGAAGTTAAGTATGACCAGTCTTTTGATGCTGGTTGAGAGGTAAGAGCAGAGGACTGAAATTCAGAGCTCCTGGATTCTGCTCATGGCTGTGGTACAAGCGTGGCCGAGGGAGGAGGAAGGCTTTTGGACTCAACCATTGATTTGGGCTATGCCATTGACGCTTCTTGTGTCTCTGGACCACTTAAGGTGGAATTGCCAGAAGTGACTGTGGATCCTGCCCTATTAGGTCTCCAGCTGGAGATAAACTGGAATTGCTCATTTTTTCCAGAAGTCCCCACAGAGCAGAAAATGGCAGCTTTGTTGTATGGCTGGCTGGAGACATCCCCAACAGAGAACATTAAAAAAAGGGTCCAAATAAAGCAATTTTGGTCTTAACTTAGATGTAGCTAGAAAGAGGGCACAAATAAATTCTGCAGCTTTCTACAAGTCTTAAGGCATTGGTCAAACTTGTTGCTGCTGCTTCCCACCGAAGTCGTATGCTTAACTCCTGCAGCTAATTTACTCCTTAGCACCGAGGTGCCTTCAAAGCCCTGCAGATAAGTGTGAAACACCATCATGACCAGAAGCTTTGAAGCTGCGGTGCAGGCAGGATCTGGGGAGTCACTGTGCTGATTAAAACTTCCTTTTATTTTTTTATTTTTGTAATTGGGTTTTGTCAGGTGTGTGAGGAGCAGAAGTGTGAAGAAGAGGTCTTCCCCTTGGCCATGAATTATGTGGATCGCTACCTGTCATCAGTCCGCATGCGGAAAAATCACTTGCAGCTTCTGGGAGCGGTCTGCATGCTCCTGGCTTCCAAGCTGCGAGAAACCATGCCCCTGACCGTGGAGAAACTCTGCATTTACACAGACAACTCCATCACGCCTCAGCAGCTCCTGGTAACCACCCCTATCTCAAAGAGCCCTCAACCTCCTCCCCAGCTCTCTTATCTCTGACATCCTGCTCCTTGGCAGCATACCTGCCTCCGTGTCTCCTCCTGTTCTCTTTCTCCCATTTCTTCACCTTCCTCTGCATTCCCCAGCCAGCCTTCTCCCCTCCTTGCCCCAGTGGGTGTGATGTCTGTTGGTGGAGACCTTTCTGTCATCTCTGTCGTACGAAGCAGAATTGTCACCTCCAGGTTATAAAGAAGGTTCCTTTTGCCTTAGGTGCTTGTTGCCAGTGCTGAGCTACCGCCCTGAGCTTGCTCTCGGGTGCTGGTTTGCTCTTGAGTGACAGCTCTGGAGAACAAAGGCTCCTGTCTGCGTGGGGCGGGGGCTGCCATTGGGGCATGCAGCTCTGACTTGCCCTGGCTGCAAAGGGGCATGATGTGGGAGATGCATTTCCACACCAGCAGGAAAAATGAAGTTTTAAGTGGAGAGTTAGCCAGCAAAATGGGTGAGAGCCTTTCTCACCTGGGATCCAGCTGGCTGGGTTGTACCATCGAGGCTGATGCTGCTGCCAAGGTGATGGAAATGAGTGGGACCTTGCTGCTGCCCAGGTCCTGCTCCGCGCCCTTGAGTTAAAGCAGGGCTACTTTGCCTCTCCTGTCAGATGTTCTGGCAGCAGCTGTGTAGGCTTTGAAAGCAAAGTGTTTTCGTGTCTGATAAAAGTTCAAAGCAAAGATCCAAACCTCTGAGTTCAACTTGGTCAATGGGGGCGGAAATTGGAGAACCCCTTTTTTGGGGGCCTTCCGTGCTGGTAGGTCAGAGCCCTCGGGAGGAAACGGCCACCTTGCTTCGAGTAACAAACATCCCTGGAGACAGTTTGTCTACGAGAATTTCTCAGGGTTAGTCATTGCCTTATTAAATGTCTATTTTTTTGGGCTGGGGTGGGTGAGATGATCTGAGTGTGATTTGTCCCCAGGGTGGGGATTGAACCCACAAAACTTTCAGGTGTGAATCGGAAGGCAGTTCTGGTAACTGGGGAACTCTAGTATGAGCATGGTTTTTCCAAGTGCCAGTGAAGGCTGGGGAAAATCCCCTCACCTCCACACCTCTCTCCCTGTAGTCATTTGTGGGTGGTTGTTGCCTTAAGTAGCACTCACGGAAAAAAATATGTGGATCATTACCATGAATAGTAGTGAGGGATAGGAATGCATAGAGGAAACACAAGTGCTCGTTGCTTCTCTGGATGCTGAGCTGTAGTCGTGCCGCAGCATCCTGCTGCAGGGGGCTGCCACAAAATCCCTGCGTGCGAAGGTTTTCTCCTGCTTTGTCAGTAAAGCTTCATCTTTGAGAGCATCCAGCGATGGATTCTGTGTGGGTATCTTCCTGGGACTGGGATCCATCACAAGAAGCTAATCCCAACCTGTAACCTGTTCGCCCTGTGATAATGAGGGGGTTAATATTTAGCTGGAAAAAAAAGACAAGGGGAATGGGAGTTGATTTACATTTGCTTTTCTGCTGGGTCAGCAACAAGCTGAGCAGAAGGTAACTAAGAGTCGTCTTGTAGGCAAGCAGGCTGCATTTCAAAGCATGGACAGTGTTCTCCATGCCCTCAGGAGCACGAAGCTGATCAAAATGCATGTTGTGGGCCAGTGTCAGGTTTCTGTCCCTTTGGAGTGATGGATAAGCTCTCTGTCCATCAGGAGTACAGGTTGCAGGAACGTAAACTTACTGCCATGCTTCACCTCTACCTCCCTCTCTGATCCAGACTTTACAGGGAGTCCTGTCATCATCCCTGCAGACTAGAGGAGATCGTCACAGCAAATTCTAGTGATTTCTACAGCGTGGACCTTGGGCTACAAGGAATTGGTCTTGATGGGCACCTTGTGCATATCTCCCATGGATCCCAGTTGTATTTCATTCTGATTTATTTGGTGATTTATTCTTGGTGAGGATTTGCTTTTTTCAGTTGAATCTTGCGCTGTGTTTGTATTTGGTGATTTATTCTTGGTGAGGATTTACTTTTTTCAGTTGAATCTTGAGCTGTGTTTCTAGCAGGCTCCTTCCACAGGAGAGCAGTTAGGAGATGTGCAGGTGGGTAGTGGGCAGAGCATGTGCAGCATCCCTGGAGGCTTTCCTTCACTCGCACTCAAATACTGATGCCTCCTCACTCGCAGTCTTCTTTATTTCTTCCCCCCAGAGGTTTGCTTTTTCTAAGCAATGCCACAATGTTCACCTTCCCTTCTCCCTCCTCCTGGCAGCATTGGGGTGGAGAGGAAGGAGGAAAGTGCTGTGTGCTGCCTGTTGCTCACTTCTGATTGCGCAGGTCTCAGTGCTGGAGTTCTCCTTCCCCGTACTTTTTTCCCCACCAGGATCCTGGGTTGCTCTCAGTGCAACAGGAGGCACAGCCGGATGGTTGGCACGGATCTCTTTCATCGTTGTGATCCGGAATCAATATGCAGTTGAGGTGAACAAGAATGGCTTCAGTTTGGGAGTCAAAAGACCTTTCTTGGGATAGCCAAAGATAGCTTTTTCAGGCAAATAGATCCCTTTTCTCTTTCCCAAGGGGATGGCCATGAGCACTCAGCAGCGCAAGGGTTTATTCCTGGTAATCGGTGTTAGCCAAAAGGCATCAGAAACCAGCCACAGCCCTTAAGGAGAGGTGCTGAAGCATTTGCAGATGTCTGGGCAGGAGATACTCTGTCGCCCTGTGATCTGGTGGTCATCTTTCCCTGCCTGGCTTGCTCTCGGTAGATGTTTAACCCTGTTTGGAGCACATCCTGCTCCAGTCTCCCGTTGCTCCCCACTGTAAAGAGGGAGTGGAGGTAACGTCTGAAGATAAGTGAAGGATTTGTCTTCGTTTTGGGATGTGACACGAGTTAATATCCTGATTACAAAACCAGGGCGAGCTGCTGTTTTCCTCCTCTGTGCTAATCGTGGTAATGTTACTTCTCTTTCACAATCTTGCAGTGGAAGAGGGTGGGGAGGGGAAGGGGAGCTTCTTCATCAAGGTTTGGACAATGGTGCATCCTGGCCTCCTCTTGTGGATCGGTGCCATTTCAGCTTCCAGCGTGTCCTCCCCAGCCTTTCGGAGGAAGCTGTCTCGCTCTCCCAGTAGGTTTGCTTCCTTCTCTTGCCGGGATGCTTGGCACCAGCTCAGCAGTTTAGAAAGGACACATTTGAAACAAAATCTTGATGAAGTTATTCTAGGGAGAAGGAAATGATGCAACGAGGGACTTGTCCATTTGGAGGAAGTTGGATTTCCGTCAAGGGCGTTATCTAACCCACCTTTTATTTTTTTTTTTCTTTTTTAATAAAGGCTTTTCTGGCCTGTGCAAGATGGTGTTCAGCTGCTTGAAGTTTGGGGAGAGCAGTTGTAGGTCACCTTCATCTGCCTGGTTTGCTCCTAATACATTGGCTTGCCTCTGAAATCTTTGACCTAAGGTCAGTTTTGCAAACTGCCAGGTATTTCTTGCAAAGATGGTAAGCAGGATCAAGCCGCTAGGTAGGTAATGAAGGGAGCAGCAGTTACAGCAGGCCAAGAGGAATGAAAATAAGAGAAAGAGATAACAGCTGAGTAGAAAGGGATGTTCACTTGTGATAGAGCATAGACTTCCCAGAAGACGTGCTTGTGTTTTACTGTTTTACCTTCTGCTTGCTGCATAGGTCGGATAGAGGTGACCGTTTCTGCATCTGAAGTTGGCACCTTTACCTTGGACATCCAGACATGAACTCTGGTCAGGGGATGGAAACAAGCGTTTGCCCCAGATTTCCTATTTGCAAATGGACTTTCATGGCTGCTCATTTCTGTAGCTGTGTCTCAGCTGCTGGGTAGGGTGGGTGGCCAGCAGCAACATCAGCAGCTCTTTCCACCCTCTTTTTGAGTCAACTTGCAGGCACAACGGAGTGCAGCCTGCTCCCCCTTCACTGGTGTCTCGTCGAGTCTGTGATAAGTTGGTAACTTATCAGCTTGAGGACAAAACCGAGCGCAACTTCCTTTTCTCCTGCAGACGGGGCTGCTGCAGAGGAGCTGGGCTCTCTGCTCCCTGTGCAACCTCGCCAGATAGGTTTACACAGACTCCTTGTAGGCACAGCGGGTGTGTGGGTGTCGCTGAGGGTAGAGGTTGATGTACAGAATGATTGCCACTACTTGAAAAGGAGAGAAGCCGATGTGAGTGTCACATCCCAGACTGAGTTTGCAGAGGTGTAAATCGAGTAAAACAGTCTCTGCTTGTGAGTCGGGTCTGTCTTGGTGAGAGGGTGCAGAGGCAGCAACCAGGGGCTTGAGGCTGTTTCACTGCAACAGGACTGCGCTCTGAGAAGGTGATCTCGGAGCAGGGGAGGCAAAATGGGAAATGGTTGCTGCTTTCCTTCCTTCTTTTTTTTTTTTTTTTCTTCTTTCTTGTGGGATGCAGCCAGGAGAGATCAAGACAGCAAGCGTGCAGAGAGGAAGCTCAGCCGCTGTGCAATTTCCACCCCTAGAGATGCTGGCCAGGGATGGGGAGCTCTGTCTTGAGGGATCTTGCAGAAGGGGGACCTGATGCATTCCCAGCGATGGGATGCTCAGTGGGCAGTGCTGGCAGTTTGAAGCCCTTCCATGAAGAGGGTGGGCTCCGCAGGCTGGAGAAACAAAGGAACATTTTCCACTTTCTTCCTCTCTTTCATTAGCCAGGCAGAGACTGATTCAATTAGGTGCAAAACAAAATGCCAGGAAAAGGATGTTTGCTATATTGAGTGGTGCTGCTGTCGCAAACCTGCTTGCCTATCTCTTGCAGCCTTTTGTTCTGCTTCTTCCACAGATAAAGTGATTCAGAGATTCTGACATGCTGCTCTGAGAGCGGGAAGTCCCCAGGGTTAGCAGGAGAGAAGCGAGGAGCAGGGTGGTTTGGCAGGAGAGAGGCTTCCCTGAGCTAAATCCTGTGAGCTGGTGACAGTCCTTGGCGCCTGTCGCCTTCAGCTGGCATCTCGAGTGCCGGCTGGGTCTCGGGATCAGGCCTTTTGTAACAACGAGGGTTTTAAGAAGATGATGAACCTGTGTACTAGCTGGAAAATAGCTGCTTTTGTGCATTGCAAACGGACAGGCTGTTGTCCTGGATCAGACCTGGTGTGGCAGGAGCCAGCCTGTCCCAGGTGAGGTCTCATGGCTGAACTGGTCTGCACCCTGGATCTTCTCCTTAGGACAAAATGTGTCCCAGCAGGGACAGGCTCTCTGCCACACCACTGTGGACATCATGTGCCTCTGGTGACTCCCAGTAGCTGGCTTGCAGCTCTGGGAGGAAAGGCAAGGAGCAAGAGCCCAGGTGATGCTGGGCTGATGTCCCCTCCGTGCTCACGAGGTCCCCTCCCAGGTGTAGAGATCCCTTTTGGGTTTGCTTCGCGAGCAGCGATCTCCAGGTCCTCCTTTTGACCTTCTCCCTGGCTCTGCAAAAGAGCCGTGCTCCCAGCTCATGTGAAGTCGGGCTGGAGCTGCCTCGGCCTCTCACCCTCGGGGCAGTGACTGCTGAAGGGGTCAGCAGTGTCCTGAGTCCCTTCCCAAGAAATTGGGCTGATGCACAAGCAAGCAGCCGGCTTTCCCAGCCCACTGCCCTTGGTGGGTTCCAGATGAGCAACAGGTAGGGATAACACACAGAGCTCTCCATCTCCAGTGGCTCTTTCCTTGTGTCCCTGCTGTGTTGCTGCAGTTTAACCAGTGGCTAGCACTACCTGTTTTTTCTTATTCTACCCAAGCCTGATCTCTCCCCTCTGTTCCAATCCCCCTGTTGAACCAGGCACCCTCGGTGACCTGTGCTGTGATCCTCAGGCTCTGGAACTCATTGCTAGGTTTCTTCTTGCTTTTAGCCTGTGGATTTGGCTTAAAAATATAGGAAGACTGGCAGGTTGGCCATCCATATGGGAGACTAGCGAGCGTGCTCTAGCGAAGCAGCGCTTTCTGGTTGGAAAAGTACGGGCTGTGAAATGACAAACGTGCGTTTGGCCTCATGGGGGATTTGGAGCAGGTTGAGCAATGCTGCTCATTTAAGCAACTCAAAACTGGTATTGTTTGTGAAGGGGAAAAAGTGGGTTTAAAAAAAAAAAAAAAAGAGGGAAAATGAAGATGTGCCCTTATGAAAAATCTCACTTCTTCAAATCCATCTGTTCTGGCAGCCCTTTGGCACGTTTGTGAGCAGTATTGACCTTGTAATCCTAGACTACTTGGGAAAAGAATAGATATTCTTCTGGGTAGGACTAGGTCCTGAAATGGAGATATCTGATACAGATCCCAATTCAGCTCTGTCCTTCTAAACCTGGAGCTTCAGCTCCTGCAGGGTGTTTTCCTTTCCCAGCACAACTGCAGGGCCACTGTCACCCCCTTGCTAGTGGGCAGGAGGGACACGGAGGCATCTTCTGTGGCCTTTCTGGCATACCTGGACCCTGTTGCCAAAACCAGATTTGCCGCTGATTCAGAGGATGAGAGAAATTGGGAGCCAGAGACCTTCATCGTGGCTCGGGACGTGGGGGAATTGAGACTGGCAGAGAGGCTTGGGCAGCTGGGTGTGCGCTGCCCATGACATTTGTGACCTTGCTGCTGGGATGGGAAGGGAAATGATCCTGGGAAGATGCTGTTCTCACCTCTCCTGAGACTGCTGTCGGTGGCATGGTCATACCCAGATGTAACATCAAAGCCACCCAGCCCAGTGAGACCAGTGCGTGTGTGGCCTTCAAGTTTGATTCAGCTGCTGCTCTAGCTAAGTCACAGAGACCTTGATGTCGATGGCAGAGCTGGGAACTGAATGCAGGGGTCCCAAATTCTGTGCTAAGGCTCTAATTGTGGGGCTCCCCTTGCTGGATGGCTGCTTTGGTGCCACTCGGTAACGCTAGGACTTGCTGGGTGATGACCCTGCCAGGTGCTTGCCGGCGGCTGCTCTGCACCTTGGTTTCCTCATCGGCGTTAGGACTAATGCCCAGGGTTGGAAGAGCCTGCGAGAGGCCGAGCAGATGAGAGGAGCAGCTGGGGCTCCAGCTGAAATCTGCGGGGGGCACCCGGCCTTCCCACCATCTGTTCCCCAACTTGCAGATCACACAGAGACTGGCTCGTGGAAGATATTACCGAAATCTCTGTTAGATGCTCGGAGAGAGCACCACAACATGGGACGGAGACACTGGCAGGCACCTGGCATGTAACTGGGAAGCACCAGTGAGCCGTTGCTTGTATGTCAGTGGGAGAGGCGGGCGTTAGCATGGCTGTTCAGTGCCTCTTCCCCCTGAGAAGCTGCCGGGGATGCTCTGCTGAGCATGACTGGAGGCTCCCTCGGCAGAGAAGAGGCATGATGAGTAGGGGAGTTTCTGCCAAAATGCGAGTGCCCAGCCTGGGACCTCCTCCGTAGGGCTGCGTGCCCAGTGTTTGTTGGGCTGAAGCCCTCAGCACCGAGTCACAGCCTGAGCCCTGTAGGGAGTGAAGATCTCATACAGGAGCTTGGGCTGTCTGGATGCAGCCCTGAAAGCTCAGCTGTGGTTTCCCCCACCTTCCCTTGCTTCAGCATGTTGTGCAGAGGGGGCTGGCTGCAGAGCAGCTATTGCCTCCTGCGGCTCACTGGCCAAGGAGCCACTGTAGGAGGGAGTCAAGGGCTGCGAGGGGCACACAGAGGTGAGCTTCTCTATTCCCTTTGCTGTAATGATGTTAGCTCCAAGCTGGATTGCTCCTGGGAGCCTGGACATCAGCCTCTCCTTTTGGGAGTGGAGAAGGAACATGGGAAAGGTGTGCCTACTGCTCCTTGCTCTGGTTTTTCCTCTGTGGGCTGTTGCGGCAACCTTGCAAAGCAGAGGAGCGTTGAAGGCTAATCCGACTGCACCTTGGAAAGATGAAACCAGATTTATCGCTGCTTCTTCTGATCTTTACTCCTGGCTTTGCAACGGCCGAATGCTGGATTCGTGCCATAGTCGCAGAGCAGGGACGTTCCCTCTTTTCTTCCCCATCTCATGGATTGTACTGTTCTACTCTCCCTTCCCCAAGCGCTGGCCTTATCTGCCCTTGAATCTGCTGAGCGTTTCTGCCTGGCTCAGCCCCACTGAATAACGTGCTGTCTGTCTGCCTCTGCAGGATTGGGAGGTTCTAGTCCTGGAGAAGCTAAAGTGGGACCTGGTCTCAGTGATAGCAAATGATTTCTTGGCTCACATCCTCCATCACCTCCCGCTGCCTAAGGACAAGATGGAGCTGGTGAAGAAACATGCACAGACCTTTATCGCCCTGTGTGCCACAGGTGGGTGCCTGCTCCAGCCGGAGCCACCCACCAGGATGCTGGGGAGGGTGGGCTGGCCGCTGCTGACAGGGTAGCCTGGCCTTGAGTCAGGCTTGCTGCCTAACCTGGGGCTGGTCTCCAACGCTCTGGCTTTCTGGGGAGCTGAATGCCTGCCTTCGTTCAAATCAGAGCATTTTGCTGCTCAATGACATGTTTTCTATCCCTGGCAAAGTGGGGATAGTGGTCCTGGGGGCTCTTAGCGGGTGCCTGAAAGACGCCAGGAGAGAGCGAAGGTGCCGTGGCACCCCTCTTGCTGCGCAGGCTGCAACTGCAGGAGGGCGTCCAGGGTAAAGGCAGGGTTGAATCTGAGCTTTTATCAGCCTCGCTCTAAGTCACCAGAGCAACCTCGTCTTCTGGGCTTCTTTGGGTGCGACAGACCCAGAGAAATAGCTTAATGACGCTTGCTGCTCTGATGCTCAGCCTGTTTCCTGTTACTTCACCCCCATTTCTCTCTGCTAAGCTGGAGAGACCCCTCTGTCTGGCCCTCTTTAGTTTCCTGGGGAAGCTGCAGTCCCAAGGACTTACTGTGTGTCTCCTTGCTAACGGCTTCTTCTTTTTGCCCCTCGTGTCCCTGTCCTGGCTCTAGACTACACTTTTGCGATGTACCCCCCCTCCATGATTGCGACAGGCAGTATCGGAGCGGCAATCCACGGCCTGACGGTCTCCGTGAACGATTTCACCGGCGAGGCGATCACTGAGCTGCTGGCCAGCATCACTGGCACGGAGGTGGTGAGTGTTCACGGGGGAGCAGCAAAGCGGTTTTGTTGCTGGATCTGGTGGAAACCCTTCCTCTTTCCTCTGCTCGTCCTTCTTGGAAGGAGAGGAAATTAGTCTGTTCATGATGATGCTGACCTTGGTTTGAGGAGTGCCTAGAGATGAGCGAGCATCTCTGAACGCAGCAGCCCTCGCCAGTGCTGCGGCTGCAGTTGGCTCCTGGCCATCGAGCGCTGCCTGTGCGGAGCGGGGCAAGCTCGGGAGCCTTTGAAAAGCAGCACAAAGGGGAGCATCTGTTCCCTGCACAGGCAGGTGTTGGTGGGATCGGGTTGACGAGGTGGGATGGGGCAGAGGGAGAAGCCGGGCTCAGCATCTGCTCCCCTCTGCCGGTGTCTGGTTGCAGGTACCTGGGCTTGGGTGGGAAGGGGGTCAGGGGCACAGAGTGTTTCAGGATCCTGGCACAGTGGCTTTGCTGAGGATGCCGGAATGGTGGAGGGGGGGGGTCTGCCTGCCTTTCCACTGCCCTTTGAATGGGGAAGGGGAACCCCATTGGGCTCCCCGTTTCCAGGTCGCTCCTGCTGCAGTGAAGTAATTGGGAGACTTTCTTCTGCCAGGGGCCCCTTTTGATCTTTTCTTCTGCCCGAGCGCTAATGCCGGCAGGCGGGCGCGGGGTTAGTTACAGTCCCCTGACAGCAGCGCCGGGAATTGGAAGAGGTGCCGGTGCCACAGCGGGTGGGAGGCTGCGACGAGGCTTTGTAGGGAGGGGATGGGGCAGGAGGGCGTCCTGATCTATTTATGTGGCTTTAATTTTTTTGTTTGTTTGTTTGCCGGAGCCTTTTTAAAGAGAGAATCACTGCAGCCAGCTGCTCTCAAGCTGCTGCGGTGAATGGGGCAGTGCCTGAAACCTGCTCTGAGTCGGGGCTGCTGGAGGGAACAGGTGGGGCACAGCGAGGGGGGAGGGGAGCCGAAACGGAGCCCAGCACCCCTTTGCTCCCCTTCCTCCTCAGCCCAGAGAGGGCATCTGCTCTGCCCCCCAGCCTGCCCGGGTGCGAGGTGCTGCACAAACAGCCCCTGTAGCAGAGGGAGGACCTGGGGATGTGTCCGTGGTGTTGCAGGGCTCCCGGGGAAGCACCCGGCCTCAGCCTCCCGTGTTTGTGGTGTTGATGCCTCTCCCTGACCCTGGGCTTGCAGTGTCCCCGGGCTGTGACTCAGTTTCCCCTTTGGCTCCGCACGGGAGGAGCGATCCCCTTCCCACAGGTGCCAAGGCCCAGCCAGGCAGTGGTGGGGGTGCAGG